CTACCGGCCCATCCTCTTTGCGGACTTTATTGGCCCGGCCGAGCTCGTCATCGTCGAGCGACCGCTTGTGGACGTGCTCGCGAAACTTCCGCCGGCGTTCTTTAAACCCAAGTACGGTGCGACGTAGAAAGTTACAGAAGGAGCTTCTATGTATGAGCATTTCTCATATCGCGGCCCAGTCTAAAACTACCATATGATCCCCTGGGTATGATGTCGTGCTATTGCTACAAGAAAGAGACTAAACTTTCTATGAATAAGACATAAGGAATGTTAAGCTAGGTATTGTCCAAGAGATAGAAGTGAAGATAAGAATTTTATGACAACGAAGCTTTATGCTTTGCTGTCAAGCGTTTTCCGAAGTTGATCGCGGTGGTCTTCTTGTTTGTTTTCTCTGCGACAGAATATTCAGATGCTATTTGTCACAGCAGAATAAGATACGTACTTCGAGTTGGCGAGAGAAAGGTAGAGAGTCCAGAAGATACCACATGTCGACTGGAAGGGCACGCGGTATGGAAGCGGCATGAAACGGAAGTTAACCAGCTAAAGACGGCGTCTGTGAGTAACACAAACTTCGCTTTGCACGTATAGGCGACACACCTGAACGACCGGCCACACCTGCCAATTCGTGATGATGAGAGGTTTGTACAGGTCTTGGAATTTTTCTTGGATATGCCGCTTATCACGGCCCTCCATGATGCCCATCGAACCAAGGAACAGTGCGAGACCGACAGGTGCCCTATGAAGAGCAAATCACTCTAAGATACACGTCGTGCAACTGAAACATCGCCACGTACATGAGTAGCTGGTCCGCCGCCACACGCTTGCCGAGCGCCTTCAAGCTGACTTTGCCTCGCCGTCCTGCAAATGAGGGCGCGCGCAGAGGGAAGTTTCTCTCTAACCATAGGTTCCATCTTCCGATGATTGGTCCTAGCACAAGGTCAGAGAATGCCTACGGAACACTCTGAAAGCTGCACGCACCCATTCCGAGGCCAAAAGCGAAGAAGCGTGCGGTCCGGATGAAGTCAAAGGGCGGGTGTTCTTCACCTCGAGGTGGATCCAAAATCTGCGCAGATAAGAGTCAGCACACGCTGAAACCGCGAAGAAACGGTCGAGACATGCCGTTCGTTGTGTGAGCTGCGCAACCACATCCGAGAACGCGCCCATGACACCGTTCGTTAGGGCGAGGGTGGTGTACGGGTGGGTATCGAAGGACTGCTGATAAACACGAGCAAGAGCGATTGAAGACATGATGATTTGCGGTTCGTGAAGCTTTGAAGGTGGATAGTGAGGAGAAATCAAGATATCGTAGGAGGTGAGCAGCTCTGGACGTGGCTCCTATAAATCTATGGATGGCGACCCCACTTGTGTTCCACAGCAAGCCATGGGAACTCCTCAGCAGGGCGGCAGAATCCACCGAAGGTTATCTACAGGCGCTAGTCGCAGCCATCATGACACTCTCCGATCAATGGCCACCCCGAGAAAATTTCCTGACGTCACTCTAAATTCCAGGCACTTCCGAGCGCATATGGAAACCATCCAAGTTCAACAAACAACGCTCGCAAAAACACAGTACATACACACAACAGCGGACAGCGCACGCTCAGAGCAGACGCAGCTTTCCGGTCACCTTGTTCACGAGTTCGACCGGCCCTGCAAGCGTTCTCAGCCCTGCTTCCCGAACTCAAACACACACGTTGCTCACCTGGGCCAATGCCGAGAACTGTCCGGGAACCAGCTGCTATCTGCGTCCGACCCCTATGGATGCCCAGGCTCAGCACGGATTCATTAAAGCTATCAGTGATAGAAGCACTCACGCGTCCAGGATGGATCGAGCGCATAGATTCAAGCTTTTCGCTATCGCTTCTAGCTCCAATAGCTCGTCTTCTGAGCTCGCTTTCAATGCAACCTTGGCCTGGCTGTTCGGCATTCTAACCCTGAGCCCATTTCGCATTGTCGACGAGATACTCACCCTGTCCGTTCCCAGTGCCTTAGTAGCTGAGGATGGTTGAGCCAAATGGTCCTTGATTTGTGCAACACCACGTCGACTCACCGCTGGGTTGGTCTTTTGTAGTGCCTTGTAACATGCCAAAGTAGCGTGTCTAAAGAGCCGTGAGAATGGCATACTTCTATCGAACACAGAGCGACCTACCCGCATCTAGAGGTGATGTTAGCTAACTCGAAGGGATATACGTGCAACAAATATGACCTACTGCGCCGCAATTTTTCCTGTTGTCATCTTCAAATCTGTGCGCACGACCAAGACCTGGTAGGGTATGGGATGAGTCAGACGGTCATGCGAGTGGCCAGCTCACCATCTTGCATGGCTCCAGCAAACCTGGCTTCACAGAGGACAAGTCTCCGTCTGCTAGGTCCTCCTCCTCCATTTCGCTGTCTATTTCTTCATCTTGGATTGTCTGAGGAGTAGCAGGGTCTCCAAGGTTGGATCCTGCGTGTCGCTTTGAAGATGACTTGGACCCGCTTGCAACTTTCACTCCCCAAGCGTAGCCTAGGCCAAGAGAGGTAGCGACCAGCGCCGCGCCCGTGAGAACTAAGATAGTAGAGGTAATAAACACTTCGAGCTCTCTGCGCGTAGATACTAGGAGGACACGCACTATGAGCAGCGGACACCGAGGAGGAAGCAGACATGGTGAGGCCGGCAACTGCCGACGCCTCAACCGGAATGATTCTTGATCGCTGATTTTGCACTTCGCGCCCAGTCGCTCATGCACCCACCTCGCTTCTACGGCCTATATACATACCCTCTTACCGCATATCCCACATATTAAAACTGCATTGGACCGGGTTCGACAAAAGCATGTCCTCCGAAAGCGTGGCCGCCCCGGCCCCGACTCCCAATGAAGGTACGACAGAAGATCGCAAACCGTTCTCTGAGCTCGAGCTCTCTGAGCCGACAATCAAAGCCCTCAGCGGAATGGGCTTCACACACATGACAGCGATTCAGGAAAAGTCAATACCGCCGCTACTGGCGGGCAAGGACGTGCTGGGTGCTGCGAGGACAGGTTCGGGGAAGACCTTGGCTTTTTTGATTCCTGCTGTTGAGCTGCTGCACAGGATGAAATTCAAGCCGCGGAATGGTGCGTAGTATCCTTTACGATCAACTGGAGCCACAGCTAAGAACATGTATTAGGCACTGGTATCGTTATAGTCTCGCCAACCCGAGAGCTTGCCCTGCAAATATTCGGTGTGGCAAAAGAGCTCATGGCTCACCACTCGCAGACCTTCGGTATTGTAATGGGCGGTGCAAACCGTCGAGCAGAAGCAGATAAGCTGCAAAAGGGTGTCAATCTAGTTGTAGCGACGCCTGGTCGTCTTCTCGATCACCTTGAGGTACGTCTAGCTCTGTAATAGCCATAGCGTTCCGCTTACCACGTCTCTGCAAACCTCAGAATACTAAGGGGTTTGTATTCCGGAATCTCAAATGCTTGGTCATCGACGAGGCGGACCGGATATTGGAGGTTGGTTTCGAAGAGGAGATGAAGAAGATTATTGCCATCCTCCCGAATGGTGCGTTCTGTGGCAGTATCTCACTGAAACGTCTTCTTATTCATCTCGTAGAGAATCGCCAATCCATGCTCTTCTCTGCTACTCAGACAACGAAGG